GGAAACCCTATGGGGCAGTTCTACTCTGTGCTATAGTGTCGCTATGAGTCAGAATTGGCACAACGGCAATGGATTTGGTCGGGTTTGGTGTTGCTTCTAGCAGAGCCATGGATAGTGTTGACACAGAAATGGTAATGAGGATCTCCCTTCTGGTTCCTCTTCCATCTCAGGGTGACCAGACAACATACATTTCCTAGCTTGGATATGACCGGTCTCTTCCCTTGGGTCTGATTTGGTTTAAATCTATAATAAGGCTAATGGAAAGGAGAGCAGATTTGCCAAGGACAGACAGCAGCTTGGGAAACAGGAAACAGTACGCTGAAAAAATGCCTAGAATTTAAGGTTATTTAACCTCAAAATGTGATTAAGAACCAGCTTAATGAGGTTCGGGCATGCACATTAGAGAGAAAAAGTAGACTGTTTAAAATATAAGGTGGAGAAGGTCTTAGACAAGCAGAGCAGAGCCATCCAGAGGTCACATGTTGTTTGAATCATCAGGAGGCCTTAGACAAGCAGAGCATAAAACCATCCAGAAGTCATGTGTCGTTTGAATCATCAGGACGATAGTGGCACACTGAAAACTGCAGAATGATACTAACCTGCAGAGGACAACGTGGCACGTAGCAAGCAGGCGTGGCCTTCCCGCTCGGATTCAGTGGGTCTCCTTCTCAGAGCTGAGTAAGCGCTTTGTTCTGCAGTTACCGAGGGCTGCAAGAAATTGGGTAATTTAAAAGGTTAGCCAAGAGATTAGACTAGCTAGAATTATTAATCTCAGAGAAGAGCAAACAGAGGAGTAATTTAAGAGAGTCCAAGGAGGGTTCTGTCACAGAAAAGAATGACCAGTTAGTCTCCCTCTGGGCTGGAAACAGGAAATGTGTGATAAAAAAAACAGTGAATTTACTGTGATAACAATACAGTCACACGTGCAAGGGCAATTCAGTGGCAGCATGAAAGCCTGAGGGCAGTGATTTTCAACCCTGAAAGGGGCACATACCCCTGCGGGACAAGGAAGGGGCTTTTCAAACTATGCTTCCTCCTCACCCCCATCACTGCTTCAGAAACCTGTCTGGTTGGTGTTCTCAGGTGTCAGTATTGTCAGTTCTGGAATCTCTCTTTCTGGATACCTCTTGGAAGTGTAGACCTTTAACTTCTTTTTGGGAGGTCTTGACTCTGACTGTTTTTGATTATTTGGTAAGCCAGGGCTACATCAGGTGACCTTCTAGGCTCCCAGGCAATCCCATAGGTTTATGAAAAGCTTAATCTGCATGCCCATATCTGGGTGACTTTGGAAGAAATTCTAGATTTAACATTGTTTAACAAAAGCTGTGGAGTTCCTGGGTGGTGCAAATGGTTAAGCTCCCGACTACTAGCTGAAAGGATGCTGGTTTGAACTCGCCCAGAGATGCCTCGGGAGACAGGTCTGGCAGTCTGTTTCCAAAAGGTCATGTCCTTGAAAACCCTGTGGAGCAGTTCTATTCTGCACACATGGGGTCTCCATGAGTTGGGATAGACTCAACAGCAACTAACAACAAAGCTATAGGGGACTCTCATTCTTCCACCTGGTATGAAATGCCTAGGTCTCCCAGTGGTCTACCCTCGGTACTCATTTCTTCTCAGATACATCTGTACCATACTCCTGGACATCCATACCCACTCCTACCAATGAGCTGATCTCATATCACCACAACAGAGTTTGCTCCTAAACTCTGGACCTGTATCTCTAACTGCCTGCTGGATAATTCCATAAGCACTTCAAACCGAACAGGTCCAGAGTGACTCTGGACCTTGATGAATGACATCATCACTGACTCAGTTGCCAACACCAGGAGCCCAGCTGCCTTCCCCTTCTTTCCCTCCTGCCGTGTTCTGTCCACCTCTCCCCTGAGTATCTCTTCCATCTGTCGCTTCTTCTCCATTCTCAGTGCCATCACTTGCTTCAGACCTCAGGTACTTCTACCTAGATTATTGGACAACCTGTGCTCTTGTCTTTTTCCAATTCATCTTCCAACTAGCAATGTAAATTGTATTTCTGAAATACAAGTCAGCTAAAAGTCTTTAAATGACTCATTATTTCCAAGACCTCACATATGCCCTACCCTTGTAACCTCATTGCCTGCCTCTACCCTGCTGGAACTCAACATTTCAGCCATAATGAACTACTTGTAGTTCTGTCACTGCTCACTCCTTCTCTTTTAGCTTGTGCCTCTGCATGTATATGTTTCTGTATTTGATAGTCTTATCCCCCTGCCCTTGGTCAGGTGTTCCCCTTCTGCTCTCCCATGGCAACCTCTGTATAACTTCATCATAGCTCTACGCACCACCTGTTAAAACTGTTTCCACTGTGAGGCTTTGAGATCCTGGAATGCGGAAACCATGTCTTCCATGGCTTCCTGCCCCTAGCCTAGAGGGTGCCTGGTACATAGAGGGGGCTATTAAATGTGTGTTGAGTGGGAATGTATGATGACACACTTGATGTTGTTGTTCCTGTTGTTAGGTGGCATCAAGTCGGTTCCGACTCATAGCGACCGTATGTGCAACAGAATGAAACACTGCCCGGTCCTGCGCCATCCTCACAATTGTTGTTATGCTTAAGCCGATTGTTGCAGCCATTGTGTCAGTCCATCTCCTTGAGAGTCTTCCTCTTTTTCACTGACCCTCTACTTTACCAAGCATGATGTCTTTCTCCAGGGACAGATCCCTCCCGATAACAAGTTCAAAGTACGTGAGATGTAGTCTCGCCATCCTTGCTTCTAAGGAGCAGTCCATGGTATATTCAATATTCTTCACATCACAATTCAAAGGCGTCAATTCTTCAGTCTTCCTTATTTATCATCCAGCTTTTGCATGCCTATGAGGAAATTGAAAACACCATGGCTTGGGTCAGGCGCATCTTAGTCTTCCAGGTGACATCTTTGCTTTTCAACACTTTAGAGACGTCTTGATAGAGCCTTAAAACTTGTAAAGACCTAGGTAGTCTAGGAGGTGGCACAGTGGTTAAAGCACTCTGCTGCTAACTGAAAGGTTGGCAGTTCAAACCCACCAGCTGTTCTGTGGGAGAAAGATGTGGCAGTCTGCTTCTGTAAAGATTACGGCCTTGGAAACCCCATGGGGCAGTTCTACTGTGTCCTGTAGGGTCACTAGGAGGCAGAATCGACTTGACAACAACGGGTTTGGCTTTTTTTTTTTTTTTTTCTTTTTTTTTTGGTTTAGGTAGGTCTAAGATTTTATTGATTTTAATTTGGGACTGAGAGTTTCTACCCCCAAGCTATTTTCTAGTTGGGTAAATAGACTTGAATGTCTATTTTGGCTTCCTGGGCCTTAATTTCAGGGTGATTTGTTTTTTTCCGGGTCAAGGGAGGTATGCGTATTTTATGCCCTTTTCTCTCTCTCTCTCTCTTTCCTAACTGAGCTGAAGCAGTGAGAGACTTCGAAAAAGGGATGATTTAGACCACAGTCTAATTAAAGCAGTTCTTTCTGCTGTCCTTGCTGTGTCTACACCCAGGGTTTTGGGGGTCTGCTTCAAAGATTATGTCTTTGGGATTTACAGCAATCCTTCTTACACAAAAACATAAGAATGACTCTTCTACTGGGTCCAGCTCAGCCCCACCCCAGAGTCCCCTCAAGTACACAGCTGTGTGTTCTGCAGAATATCAGGGTACTGATTATACTCCTTATTAGTCAGGGCTCTTTTGGTTGCAAGTGACAGAAACCCAGTCATACTAGCTGAAGCAAGTGGAATTTGTTGAATCACAGAACTGGGAAATCCAGGAATGTATCTCACTTGGAGCACAGTTAAATCCAGCCACAGATGATGCCATCAGAATGCATCTTTCTCAGCTCTGCTACCCTTTCTCTAATGAGCTCTTACAGACAGGCATGGAATACGATGGACATTGTATTCTCTTACCTGTTACTTACGTCTTACTTTCCAAGAGAAATAAGACCCTAAAAGCTCCTAGAGTTGAGGGGATTGCTCTTCTGGACCAACCCTGTGATCAGGGGAACGGCAATCCATGATCATCACCAGGGCCTGTGGTCAGAGGGGCTTTGGAGCACTGTGGATGACAGCCTCATAAGAACTTTATGGGACAGGGGAAGGACATTCCCCATAGAAAAAGGGATGCTAAGAACATAAAATAAATATATAAAGTATGTAATGTATAAAAAGACTACATATACAGACTGGAGAATCTTAGGCACAGGGCATCCTGTCTTCTGAGAGTTCTGCAATTATAGGTTTACCACTATACCTGGTCTCTTCCAGGCTTATCTTCCTTCAGCTTCCTATTCATTCAGTAGCACCCTTCTCCAGCCCTGGTTTAGAGACAGTGCCTCATCTTCTGTTTTATGTTGCTACTCCTTGTCCTATGAAGTATTACAGTATTACAGACCCTGACTCAGTCATAGTCTCCTGAATTGTGTTTCCTGTGTACTAGAGCTGCGCAGGTGTTAAACTTGTTCTGTGGCCTCTTTTCCTGGGGTCTTCCTTGAGTTCTCTTCTCTATTCATTTCTTCCCTTTAAACACCTGTTAATTAAGGGTTTTGGTCTTTTCCATCTCCAGACCTCTCAACGTCTGTTCCTTATGATCTCTAGGGATAGCATGTGGGACCCCTTAGTCTTTCAGGAAATTGTAATTCTGTGTTTCTGGTTTTAGGCCATAGTTTATTCTCAGGCAAAATGAACATAAGCAATGTCATAACATGGTAGTGTGGCAAAGTTGACTTTGGAGTCAATTGACCTAGGTCCCACACTTGGCTCTTCTAGTGGTGTGTCTCAACCAGGGCTTCGAACTGGCTCGTTCCAGTTCAACCCCCTGCTGAGAATTTACATTTCCACCCCAGATATAGTGAATAGTATATACTGGGTAGAACCTACATTTTAACAAGATCCCCAGGTGATTACATTAAAGCTTTCCTGTTTATGGCCCCCATAAGAGCCCTTTCTCTGTGCTTTTACTTGTTCTGACCATTCCTTTTTCTTCTTTTCAACATGCTTTCAGAGCCTCCCCCTCCGGAAGTAGAATTTTTCACAGTGCATGGAGGGCCTCTACCACGCCTGAAACTAAGGAAAGCCAAGGAAGAAAATGGACCTATCAGGTCAGTAGCTGTCCTTTGCCCAGTGATCCCTGTAGAATGTTTTGGAAACTTTGGTTTGGGTGAGGAAGAGACATCTGTGTGGCTTGTTGAACTCAAGTAGTTGGGGCAATGTAGTAAAAAAAACCAAAAACCAAACCAGTTACCATCGAGTCAATTCTGACTTCTGGTGACCCCAGGTGTACCAGAGTAGAACTGTACTCCATAGGGTTTTCAATGACTGTGATCTTTTGGAAGTAGATTGCCAGAACTTCCTTGTGAGGCACCTCTAGGTGGATTCAAACTGCCAACTTTTCATTTAGTAGCCGAGTTAACCATTTGTGCCACCCAGGGACTCAGTGTAGTCAAGGCTTCTTTTGTGTCCTTGAGCACTGACTAGACCTCTAATCCGAACCAGTACCAATCCAAATGAATAAAGAGATTTCTGAGGGACCAGAGACACACATTCAGGCAGCTTAGCTCAAGAAATTAAGTCCACCATACAAAGGAATATTATTCAGCCATAAGAAAGAATAAGATTCTGTTACATGCTACCACATGGATGAACCTTGAAAACATTATGCTGAGTGAAATAAATCAGACACAAAAGGACATATATTGTATGATCCCACTTATATGAAATATCTAATAGGCAAGTGTATAGAGATCAGAGTTTATTAGTAGTTACCAGGGACGGGTGGGAGGGGGAAATCGGGACTTATTGCTGAAGGAATACTGAATTTATGTTAAAACCCATACCCGTTGCCATCGAGTCGATTCTGACTTATAGCAACCCTCAGGACAGAGAAGAACTGCCCCATATGGTTTCCAAGGAGCACCTGGTGGATTCGAACTGCCGACCTTTTGGTTAGCAGCCATAGCTCTTAACCACTACTCCACCAATTTATGTTAAGGGGGGTGAAAAAATTTGGAAATGGATAATGGTAATGGCTGTACAACATGGTAAATATAAATAACGTCACTGAATTGTACACATAAAAATGGTTGAAATGTCAAATATGTTGTTATATATATATTACCACAATAAAATCTTAAAGAAAAAAAATTAAGGTGAAATACAGGCATTTTCAGACCAAAAAAAAATTAAGTCCATTCCTTTGGTCATCAGATAAGCATTACTTGAGTGTCTGTGACATGTCAGGCATTGTCCTTGGCACATACAGTGCTCAGAGTAGATCCTTTACTGATGATGGGTCAGAAGCATCATCTCACTTACAAAAGACAGAACGTATGATCCTTTATTTAAGACTAATCTTGAGGTAGGTATAGTGGTTTCTGAAAGGGTCATTTGGACAATTCTTTTTATTCATTCATATATGAATTATGGGCAAGACACTGTGTAGTTAATAACTGCTTCTGGATTCCAGATGGTGGTGTTGTTGTTGTTGGTAGGTGCCATCGATTCGGTTCTGACTCATAGTGACCCTGTGTACAACAGAATGAAACACTGCCCGGTCCTGCGCCATCCTTACAATCATTACTGTGTTCGAGCCCACTGTTTCAGATAGTATTAGGATGAAATTAATTTACCTCCTTTGGAGGAATACATTGTGTTCAGTTAAGCATTTTATTCACAAAAGTCATGGTAGGATTAGGAAAGTAAAATTATTCCCTTTTTTAGAGGGGAGGATTAAGGTTTGCCCAGAGAGATGAGCCACCTGCTCACGGGAACAGGTCAAGTAGATGACAATCTCTTGACCTAACCTACACTGCCTTACGTTGCTCTTGACCATTCAGTCTAATGACATTTCAGTACAACCAAGGTAAAAATATAATATGAGATGATATAAAATTATAAAAAAGGAAGTCTAGGGACATTATCTGTGTGTCTGTTTATAATGAAACTTAGGTTTCTCCTGCTTTTACGTTAGTGTAAGTTGAGTAAATGCCCGAAGGCTTTTCTAGGAGTGGACATTGAATAAATTGCTACATTTCTTGAGTCCTGACAAGTTGCTGGAAGGCATTGTAATTCTGTTACTATAAGGAGAACAGAAGTTACAGCATCACTGCCTGAGAAAATTTGCAAGAGCAAAGGTGATATTTAAGCCAAATAATTATGTAAGGCAAAAAGAAAAGCCAAACGACAGTCTACTCTTGTGGCTGTGTGCTGGCCAGTGCCTCCAAAACAGGAAGTGGAGATCTGTGAGTCATTCAAGGGAGGGTGGTGGTGAGAAAGAAGGGAGGAGGCCTTCCAGAACAGTCATGTTCCAAACAGCCACAACTGCTTCCCTAATGTCATCAGGGCTAACTACCAGCAGGCAAGCGAGAAGGTTTCCTGGCTCTGACTACCTGGTTTGAGCTTGGCTGCTTTGTGTGTTGTTGTGCTACAAAGATGAGGGCAGTGGATTGAGGCTCATGGTGGAGAAGAGGCCCTGGGACCAAGGCCCCCTACCTGTACCTGCTGATTTTAGGCAGATGACACAGCCTGTTGCTAGGCTCCCTTAATGCCAGGTTCTCCCACACTTGCCAGATTATAGGAATCACCTGTGCTTTCTCAGCAAAACAAATTCCAGGACTCTACTCCTGGAGATTTCAATTTGGTAGGTCTGGGATGGAGTCTGAGGATTTGTAGAATTCCTCAAGCAATGCAGGTGATTATGATGAGGCTAACTGGGGTGACTGCTTTACGTCCCATGAATGGTGCCTCTAGTAGGCAATGTGCAGAAACAAACGGATTCAAGTGAGCCTTGAACAACCACCACCTAGCACGGAAGGATGAGAGGGATTTGTAGATATGCCCATAGACAGCATGGAACTGCTGCAACATTCACTTTCTTACCTGTGGCCATGATTCATGAGTGTGTCTTCAAGTTGCTAGTAGGGCTTCGAAATCCTTGGATCCAGCTCGAACTCCTGCTGAGAATTTGCACTTCTAACAAGTTCCCTGTTAAGAATGTGCATTTCTATCCCAGATATACTGAATCTGAATCTACATTTTAACAAGATTCCCAGGTGATTCTTTTGTATAACTTCCTGGGAACTTAGAAATGCGAGTTCTCAGCAAGGGGGCTGAACTGGACGAACCAGTTTGAAGCTCTGGTTTCTAGGAAGTTTGTTGTTACAGGTGCTCCCTTGCAGGCTCTGGGGATGCTCAGTAAATATTTCCTGGTAGTGGTGGTGACCGCTCATTGCTCTGCAGGCTTTACTTTGTCCCTTTTGTAGAAAGCCCTTTGCTGAAAGTGAACCCAAATTTTGTGGAAATCAGGGCTCTCAAGACATCTGGCAGACCTCTGTGTATCCCTGGTGTTTGGGAGCCTGATTAAGTGGAGAGCTTCCAAAGCCTGCTTGGGGTGTAGGCTTCCCGCTACTTAACCTAGTGATCGTGAGCCATTAGGAAGCAGGCGATGGGGCATTAGGAGTATGGAGCAGGAAGTTGCAAGTTTACTGGCAAAATAGAATTACGTGACCTAATGAGTTCTGGAAATTACCCTAATCATATTTGATGCTGATACATGCTTTTCCTCTTCATCGAAATTTCAACTCAAAAAACATTAATGGAGAGCTAATCATAGCCAAAGAATGGTGCAAGGATTTGCAGGGATACAAAGTAAATCCTTCAGGATCTTGCTATCAAATCTGATAGAGAAAGCAGACGTTCACTTACTGTGCTAGTGGGAAGAGAAAGGAAGGCATGATTTACTCTCACTGCATTTTAATAATTTTCTTTCAGTGAAGGTTTTCTAGTTGGTAGGATAAAACAGACAAAAATGACTCCTGATTGTTCGTGTGTTTCTATGTCCACATTTAGGGAACAGTTTCCAAATGAACATATGACATTTTTACGTTGCTGGCTGTTTCAGGGTATTGTCAAACCAGATTAAGGCATAGTGGCTTTGCACTCCTTGTTTTTCTTTTCATGTGAAGTTTGGTATCAGGCTGTGAACTGTAGGAAATGTAAATCCCATGAGTTCTTTTGTAGGCAGCCCATGTGATTGACGCGAGCATTTTTGCAAACTTATTACGTTAGCTCTTGCACACAGTCTGCCTTAGTGTGACTGCTAAAGCCTTTCCACAGCCAGGCTCTATCTGACCATGTGAAAACCACTGATTAGATTAACTTTATGACACATACACACAGGGCAGCCACACATGCAACAACTTTTCCCACCTGAAGAGGATGCACTTGGCTTCCTTCTGCAGCTTGAGCTTGTAGAGGTCCCTTATGCAATGTCATTTGGTGCTACTGTAGATATGAAGTGAAGAATCCCTTGACTGTTGTGGCTGTCAGACTATAAATCCCACATGGGCAGGGACTTTTTCTTGTCCAGTATTGTGTCCCCAGTGGCTAGAAAAGTGCTTATCTCATTTAAGATGCTCAGTAAATATGAAAAAAATGAATAAATGAATGAATCTTTCCAGATGAGCAACTAATACTCTTTTTTCTTCTAGTTCATATCAGGTGCTAGTGCTTCCTCTGGCTTTCCAAAGCACATTTCCTTGTGATTCCGAAGGGGCTGCCTCATTTTTTAGCAATGCTACTGATGCTGATGGATACGTGGCTGCAGAACTATTGGCCAAAGATGTTCCAGATGATGCCATGGAGATATCTATTGGAGACAGGCTATACTATGGGAAATATTATAATGCACCCTTGAAAATAGGGAATGATTACTGCATTATATTACGAATCACAAGTGAATGGAATAAGGTAAATATCTTTAAAAGCCCTTGTGAACTCTGTATTTTCTTTTTCACGAGATTTAAATGTTAGAACATTTGCTTCCCCACTATTGGAGATTAGACATTGCATGCAATAACCATAAAAATATGTTTATTACTGTTACATTGAATACTTTGCCTTTATAAAAGACGGGCAGGTGAAATGTTTAATGTTGGTAGATATTCCGAACTTCCTGGGAGACCTTGTTGGATCTGTGTTTGGACTGACCTGGTTTCAGCTCTTCCTTGTAAGCTTCACAGAATGCCCTCATTTCATGACACTGTTGAAACCTGCATTGGAAAGGAACACCTAGAACTCTGTCAACTTCCCTGTATCCCTGCCAGGCTGCTGCCTCCCGTCATTCTCCTGGGAAGCAGGAGGGAGGGGTAGACTAAGCACAGCACTGCCCTACCTTCTGTTTATATCACATCCTTGACTACAGCATAGGCCGCCCTCCCCTCTGCCCTGGCCTTAGAAGGGCTGTGGTTCTAAGGTAGTTCTTTCATTAGACATAACCTGTTGCTGTTGAGTCAATTCCAACTCATAGAGACCTTATAGGACAGAGTTGAACTGCCCCATAGGGTTTCCAAGGGGCAGCTGGTGGGTTTGAATTGCTTACCTTTTGGTTAGCAGCTGAGCTCTTAAGCTCTGTGCCACCAGGGCTCCTTCATGAAACATAGAACTAAATATTCATTAGTTACTGAGTAAATATAATGAGCTGGACAAGTAGAATAGTAAGAACTGGATCAGTCAGCCAGGGATGGAAGATCTTCTGGAAGAACCACTGTGATGGTTGCCTTAGGACAACCCTAAATTCATATGGGTTGATAATGGGCTCTAGAAAATTTATATTTATATTAATACAAACATGTCTTGGCTGGTGAATTTAAGAAAAAAGTATGTAGCCATCTTGAGTGTAAGGTTCATCATATATTCAAAAGTGAGATACTCTGGACACAAGTCTAACGTGCCATTATCATGCTTGTTATAAAACCAGTGGTTACTATTAAGAATGTGCCTAAGTAGCAAAACAGATTTGGTAGAGTTTTGTGACAATAATGTAGGAATTAAGGACTGGAAAGTTCAAACCCAAAATATATTGCCCTGAACTTGTTCAAAAGGTTTTCCAACTTAGAGAAGGCCTTCTTGCTAGAAAAGTACCTGGAGATCCTGACTTGGAGTTTCTCGCCATGGACCTAGTACTGGCCGTACAAGAGTACAATTTAGAGATTGCCCAGAGAGCTGGTGTCCCAGATTAAGGCTTTGGTCTGGGAAGGAATGACGCTGAACCTTAGGATAGTAAGTCTAGTTTATAGGTAACTTTCCTGTGATGTCATTGATACCTCTTTATCAAATAGCCGAGCAGAACATGTGCTTGTTCTTTGGGATGCTGAAGGAGATGAAGGGGCTTTGAAAAATTTATACTTGGATTTCATGTTTGAATTGCAATTACTTCCCCTGTGGTTTTATATACACATATTAATGTTACAGTCACATTAAAGTCAGTAGTGATTTATTGCTGATTCCTGTTGTTTCTAGGCCTTTTCCATTAATAGTGGATCCTATAAAAATTGTTTGTCAAAGGCAGGGGGAGGAGGGGAGAATAGCACAGTTGGAAGACTTGTAAGTGACTAATTTACTAGAAGAGTTACCTCCTGTCTCACCTTATGCGTCTTCCATTGTTATGACACAGACCTTGAAGTGATGCTGATTCAGGTGATAGGTGACAATTTGGCAAAACAAGATTTCCCTCTAGAAAACCAAAAAGGGACAGGTGAATCATCCCATAGATTTCTCCCTATTGCTTGCTCCTGAGGCCTGGGCTCAGCTTGCCCAGATGTTCTTCCTGTTGGCCTTCAAATGACTCTGCTCTACATGAGCTGCTCACCTGGGGGAGGCTAAAAACTGGTCAGGTTTTCACTAGGGTAGACTTGCTGTGAGGTTCTGGGATCCTGCATTGTAATTTCTTGAGTGGAATTGCCCTTTGGAACCACAGATACCAACGGGGACTTGATTTCTCATAGGAGCCAGTGTCATTCTGCCAGTTATTCTGGCTCAGTCCCTCTCCCAATTCAGACCCATAGAGTTTTCCTTTGTAGTCACAATGTTCTCTTTGAAGACCCTGGCCACTGCTCTGGTTTGGGCCCGTTTTCCCTATTTCAGTAGTCTTCCTCTCAAACTCATCATTCATACAACCCCAAGCTTAATCTTCCCAAATCCATTTCTGATTATTTTATAATTCCTCCTCTAAAATTAAGCATCTGGAGCCTGGCGGCACAGTGGTTAAGCGCTCGGCTGCTAACTGAAAGATGGGTGGTTTGAACCCACCAGCCGCTGTGTGGGAGAGAGATGTGGCAGTCTGCTTCCATAAAGATTACAGCCTTGGAAACCCGATGGGGCAACTGTTCTACTCTGTCCTATAGGGTTGCTGTGAGTCGGAATTGACTTGATGGCAATGAGTATTCAGCTTCCTCTAGGGAATATCTTACTGAATCTTATCATATACAATCACCCACTATTTCCTAACAGAGAAATATGCACATAATAATGGTGGGGGTGGAGAAGAAGAGAAGGTGTTTTATTCAAATGAGTTTGTGGGTCTTCTCTACCATGGATGAGATTTTATACATGTTCCTTTTGCTTTCTTATAGGTTTTTGGCTATACTTTGGGTAACTGAGGTTGCCATATGCATGTCATCCAGCTCGGTGAGGTATTATTATATATCAGGACTTCTCATACCCTTGCTTATAGCATGCATCACTACTTCTTGCTGAACCTCAGAGTCCTGTCCAACATAGTTCTCCAGGAAGTCAATGCTCAGAGCTGGCAAAGGAAATGAAAATTTACTGTTATTCCTGTTATTTACTCACAAAATGTGCTTTCTGAGTTAGTGGAAAGCTATGGAAATTGATTCTTAGGGTGGCTGTTCTGTTCCCACTGCCCTTGCCAGTCCCTTGAACAGTTGGTATGAATCATAAGATATTAGAGATAGATGGGATATTAAATAATCATCTAGTTCAAATTAAGCGAGAAAAAAGCTGAAACTCAGAGGGCTACAATGTGTTATTTAAACTAACACCATGTTCTGCCAATTTAAATGGGTTGGTATGTTTTCCTTTACAGGTGAGAAGATACTCCTGTGCAGTTTGGGCTCAGGTGAAAGGTAAGACCATTTTCTGCCTAAGAATGTTGTCTCTATTTCTCCCCTGTCTAGTCTGCAGCATTGAGCTTATGTTAATGACATCTCTTTTTAAATTGTCACAAGTGACAGAAACTCACACTCAGACTAAACCCGTTACCGTCAAGTTGATTCTGACCCATAGCTACCCTAGAGGGGAGAGTAGAACTGCCCCATAGGGTTTCCAAGAAGTGGCTCGTGGATTTGAACTGCCAACCTTTTGGTTAGCAGCCGTATCACTTAACCACTGCACCACGGGGGCTCCCAACTCACACTAGCTTAACAAAAAGCAGAGCTTCAAGCCAGTTCAGTCTAGATTGACCCCCACCTGCTGATAATTTGCATTTTAATAAGATTACTGGGTGATTCTTATTAGTTTAACAAGATCCCCAGGTGACTCTTATTTATACATACATAAGCTCTTGATAAAATGTTGATTCTGATTCAGTATGTCTGGGGCAGAAATGCAAATTATCAGCAGCGGGTCTAGTTCTAACCAACAGCTGGAAAGGATGGGGTGGTGGTGGTGGGAGTAGAGGTTATGGAATCAGAAAAAGAACTGTAACCAGGACTCCAGGAACTGGAACTTGAAACTCAATACCATGCGTGGGGCTCTCTCCTTCCATCTGTCTCTTCTCTCTGTTCTGCATTTCTCAGTGTAAACTGGCCTCACTTTTTTCTACTATAGGTCATGTGGTGGGGAGGGGTGGAAACCAGCTGCCACAGTTTAGCAGCTCCAGTGGTATCTTAGTTATCTAGTGCTGGTATAACAGAAATACCACAAATGGGTGGCTTTAACAAACAGAAATTAATTTTCTCACAGTTTATGAGGCTAGAAGTACGAATTCAGGATGCCGGCTCTAGGGGAAGGCTTTCTCTCTCTGTCGGCTCTAGAGGAAGGTCCTTGCCACTTTTAGCTTCCACTCTTGGGCGATCTTCATGTGGCTTGGCATCTCTCTTCGCCTATGTCTGCTTCCTTACTTGCTTATGTAATCTCTTTTATATCTCAAAAGAGATTGACTCTAGATATACATTACACTAATCCTGTCCATTAACATAACAAAGAAAACCCATTCCAAAATGGGATTATAACCACAGATATAGGGGTTAGGATTTACAACACATTTTTGAGGGACACAATTGAATCCATAACAAGTAGGAACAGAAAGTTTTTCAATTCAGGGAAGGACTCTTACTTCCTAGGTTAAGTGGCCATTCTTGGATGAATTCACTGTTAATAGGAGATACCGTACTCTGATCAGCCACTTTGGGTCTCATGCTTACTTGTATGGCTGGTCAAGGGCATAGCAATGTGATTGACAGCCCCACCATGGTTACACTGAGGGGACAAGATCCTCATCAGTAAAAGAGGCAGAAGAAACATGTTGGCAAACCAAAACAAGGCTACAAATGTCCACCACCTTCCACTATTTGGCTGCTCAGCATATACACACACATACACATATAGTAGTAAGAAAAACATCCTCCAGTGAGATAATGGAACTATCCCAGGTATAATAAAAAATTGAACCCTAGTGGAAGACACTTCAAAGGCAGTTCTGTTACTGCATCCAGCTTCAAAACCAGAGTTTCTGGGAATGGTATGTTCCTCTTGATCAGATCCAGATGTGCTTCTCATGATCTGTTTGGCAACCTATGACTAAACAGCAAATTTAACCATTCCCAACCCACAGTGTATAATATGAAAGAGAAAACTGGATAACCAAAATGAATGCTCTCATTTAGAGAGATGGAAAAGAGAAAGTAATATGCAGTGGCCACAGGCCCATAACAATGACCACATCCTGCTGGACAGGAAAAGCAAGCATTCTAGCTGGCCTGGCAGCATAGGGGATCACTTGGTCAGTCAGTTTGGCTGCCTTGGTGTCTACCTGATGGGAGAGTGTCCCTTGTCCATTATCCTCCAAAGCCATACCTAAGAAATGCAGTGGGGGAAGGGGGGATCTCTTCCGAGTGCTGAACAGCTTAAGCCTTCTACTTCACATCGGCAGAGCCATCCAGGCCGGGAAATTGCCTTAAGGGTTGAGTAATCACAGGTCCTTGTTTGCCAGGCTTGGGATTTCCCTGGCAGTACATCTCTTAAAACCAGTAGGCATCCAGCCAGTGGATTTGATTCCCTGGAATTCCATTAGTTTGTAGCTAATACCAGAAATCTTGTCAAGTTATGAGCTTTGATCTAGATCTTTCTCTTGTGATTTATGAGTCCTAGCAACAGGCTAAAGAATTCTGCCTTTAGCCCCCACTATCACCTTAACCCCTTACATCCTGTCCTCTACCTTGGGAAACATCAGTGATGGTGAGGAAGCAATGACATTTACTCTGCTTCCAGGAGGATTCCAGTGGATGGTGCTTTACAGTTGGGGGATTGGATTTGAACTGCCGACCTTTTGGTTAGCAGCTGTAGCAGCCGTAGCTCTTAACCACTGTGCCACTAGGGCTCCTTAGTAGAGGTACTTGGCAGGAAATATTTGGGAGGGGCCTGGGAAATTTTATTTTCCCCATTTGTCTGCTTCTTCCTCAATCTTATTTCCCATCTTTTTGTCTCTACTCATAACAACTTCAGCAATGGTAGAGGACTTGGTTTTTTAATCTGGAAAAGGCAAATTACCTGACCATGAGCCATCTGGGATTGCTGATTGCTAAGCAGCAAGGGCCTCTCTTCACAAAGATGTGTGTTGTTCCATTTCCATGTTCAGATGGGCTGAGCTCCCTTTCCTGAAAGCCATGAAAAACAGCTGTACATTCCAACAATCTGAAAAGTTTCTGCCAATCCATCTCATAACGCTCTAGGGGTGGGAATGGAGTTCCTACATGGAAAAAAGGTGCTTTTGTCAGAAGAACAGAGATGTGCAGGCTTCCTGGACAGACACAGAAATAATAGCTTCAAGAATCCACTCTACTTAGTAACTGTTTGGTATGATTGGAAAACATTCAAACTGAGTAGAAGAAATGGCTAAAGAACCATGAGCTGAGTAAAATGAGCTGTGGTCATTTTACTGTGATTAAGTTAACAGGCAGGATTTTGCTTTGGAAATATCTAAGTGGTTTTTGGCTGTGCCCTTTTTCCCACTGAAATTAAGGACCAATATTGAAAGAAAGAGTTCAAGCCTTTGAATTCAAACTGTTGGAAAGCTCTGAAAGATAACAGAAAACATAGCAACGACTGTTATGTTGAAATTCTGAAGGCACTTCTAGCATATATTTACGTACAAAATTTACCTTTGTTTGTACTCGCCCTCTGGCAGTCTCCTTTTGCAAAAAAATCTGGAGACTTTCATCTCAATGTAATTTGGAGAGAACTGAGATTCAAATTAGTCCTGAAATTGTTCCACATCATTTTTGCCAAGCATCAGCCCCATTCTTGCCTTTGCCCAAATTATGCCATTTGCCTTTTGCATATTGCCTCTAAAAGAGCTTTGTGATGATTATGGGGAACCAGCAGTTGGTTTAATGGGAAATGTCGAGGCCTGGGCTTCCTTGCCTGAGTCGTGCTACTAACCACTGAGTGTCTTTGAGATGACGTTTAACTTGGCTTGTTCTCAATTACCTCTTTCCGGGATTTCTGAGATCCCTTTCCAGCCACAAAGTGCTGTGAGTCTGTGATTTACTGGATCGCAAAGCAAGGTCATTATTAAGACAATAATACTCTGTAATCAGGGAAAATTATCCAGTCACAGGCGTGAAACCTCTGAGTCTTTGGTGACTGCATCTCTTTCTCTTTCATCCCACATTTTGCCCCTTGGGCGTGCCTCTCTGGTTTTCAGTTCTGTGTTTAGTACCTGAGCATACTTCATGCCTGTAGCATGGATGACTGGCAAAGCCTCCTTCCTCATCTCCCTTCACAAGTGTTCAGGGTTTCCTTCTTCACTCCAGCCTACATCTCACACCCAATTCATATTTCTAAACCACAGCACTAGTTTTGATATTTTCCCTGTTCTTCTATAGTCCTCCATTCCTTTTTAGTCTGGCTTTCAAGGCCTCACTCAGTTTGACACCAAAGTACTCTTCTAATTAAATCTCTCATTCTTCTTCATTCAAGCTGACATGCCAGTTCTTCTCTGGATATGGCCCATGCTGTCCCTCCTTAATGTCTTTGTTCATATGATGACTTCCACCTGGACTGTCCTATAACTTGCCTGTGAATCTCTGCCTGTTAAAAATCCTATCCATCCTTTAAGACTAATCTCAAATGCCATCTCCTCCCTGAAGCTTTTTTTATTTCCTCAGCAGGACAGGATCTCCCTGTCTAGACATTCTACCATACCTTAGAGCAAGCGATACACTTGTCTGTCTTCCCTACTAGGTTTCAAGCCCTTGTGGGAGAGCATCTGAAGAGCTGGTGCAGTGCCTGCACAGATTAGGTGCTCAGTCAGAATTTACTGAATTGGATTGTGTGATACTTCAAGAGACTCTGAGCGCTTTCTCAGTTGATAACCAACACATCACCAGCTTGAAGGCCCTTCTCCATTGCTGTCTGATCATCTACCTAAATGGACCCTCTCTCTCATTTGAACTTACATATTGCTCTATCATTCTTTCATGGTATCACCACATTATGCCTTTCATAGGAGAAATTTGTGTTCATACCCAGTCTCATTCTAAAAGATTATTAAAGCTGGAAGTTGTATCTTCCTTATCTTTGTATCCCTGGTAACCTCTGACGAAGTACCAGAAGCATAGTAGGTACAATATTTATTTATCAGATTAAATAAGCAAGGGAAGACTTCTATTAAGATGTAAGCCTAGTGCATGTGTCTGTGTGTATGTACATATTCATTTTAAACCTACGTAATTGTGGTAGGCAGAATTCTAAGATGTCCCCTCAAACTCCTGGGAACTGATGTACACCTATCTACTCTCAGTTATTCAATTAAAAATTGAACACTATTCTAAGTGTTGCTGTGGCGGGATTTTGCAGATGTAATTAAGATCCAAATAGGGAGATTATCTGGATGAACCCCACC